TGTATTATTATGATGTCCTTCTATCTCAATATACTTTCCAATTCCTTGAAGGAATGATGTCTTTATAGAATTACTTCTTTCTCGGTATTCGCTGAAGCATTTCATATATAAGCCCGCATGGTTTCTGAATCTTTGAGACATGATTATAAACTTGCCTTTTAGACAGCTTATTAAGTAAAATGTCTTGAGATATCAGATCAGAAATTCGAGATGATTATATTATGGCTTTCCGAATCTTATGCAGTTACCATTGTACTGAAAACATCTGTAGCAATACAACCAAAAATAAAAGTTGGAGCAATAGGGATTCGTAATGAAAAGGTGGCTGGAAAAAAACACGTGTTGTTCATCTCTTCTGATCTTACATTTTGAACGTCCTATTAGTATACTTTATGCTGATTTTATTTACCATGACTAGTGAAATTATATTTGTTAGAAACAGTATGAACAGAGAAAATGTTATTTTATTATTCTGAATTCTGTGTTGGACCCATTTACGAAATCATCACCATACAGTTCTTGCTGTATTGACACAGGATACAGACACTATTTCAGCTTCTATATGAGCACTGATTTTATAAATTCTTTCAATAATAGCTCTCGAAAAAATTAAAAAAAAAAAAAAAAAAAACAGAAATTACACAGGGTTAGTTGGTCACTCCTATTAACTCATGACCTTTATCGATGACGATTCTGTTGAATTATTTTTTTTTTAAACTTATATGGATGTCTCTTTTGCCGGAGTACTGTTTTACAACCCAATAAAGTGACATTTGTGATGGCATTCCTCTAGGATGAAACTGTTCTTCACACAAAAGAAGTGCTTGTAGCGTACATTTTCCTCCAAAGTACGGAAGCAAATCAACTTTTTCTCTCTCAAGACAGAGTATCTATTTTCATCTCACTGTCAACACAATAATAAGCGTAGGATATTAAAAATGAGGCTAAACAATAAAAATAATATTATCGTTGGTCATCGTAACATCTGAATTTGGAGATGGCTAAAAACAGAGTGAAAGTTGGTTGGTTTCAGTAATTCTTCCCCCCCCCTTTCAGTATCACATTCCCTGTTCTCTTTCTAGAGATTAAACGCCGCTGGCAAGACTTCGTGAACCAATCACATGTATGACGTATATCTTTGTGCCCTCATTTCAAGTACAGCTGTACATATGTGAGACACCCATGGCCGCACCCTCCATCTTATTAATTTCTTTTGTCTTTGTATTACTGATTCAGTTGCTTACAAAACAATATGGCTTTCGATTATCAGCATACATTTTCATAAATCTATGAACTACACCCTGAATTTAAAAAAGAAAATGGTTCGTACAAAAGTTGTTCACATTTTTACAAAGAATAACAACGCAAATTCACTTTAATAAAATTAGATTGAAATCCACCTGACACTGAAAATAATCTCTAAACAAAACGTGGCATAATAAGATCGGCATTCGCATTACTTCATTGGACCCACCAGCGGCCGAGCGGTAAAGTCGCTGAACACTGGTAGTTCGGTCTGAGGTTCGAATCCCGCGAACGGGCTGGCTGCATGGGCGTTTTCGTGGTTTTCCCCATGTGTAACGTGTATACGAGCCAGTTTCCCTTAGAAAGTCCTCCACGAAAGGCATCCCTCCCATTAGGCAGATAGCCCTAGTGTGCTTTGCCATAATTAAATACATCACATCACATCATCACATCGCATTACTTCATTGGCCTTTCTTCGCCTGTGAAATGTTTCGCATTATCAACTCCAGTAGTCTACATTTCATATGCTGCAACGTAACTGTGAAGATAATGTTAAGTATATTCGAAAATTTATGTTAAATATATGCTGTTTTCACGAACTGATACCTCAACGTTCGAGATCTGAAATTTGTGCGGATTTCTAGACTCTAAATTCGTAGATTTTTTGCATTAAGCTTTTAAGTCGTATATTACAGATTTTACTTGAAATAATATAGTTGTGTCGGTCTGTAGATTCATTGTTTTAGATGGCGTTCTTAATTTCCAGTGTTAAATTCACTATTGGCAGCGTATAGAAAGAAGTCATTTACATAATTTTTTAAATACTTCTTAGATCAGTCAGTGATGGTTGTTGCAAATTTATTACTAGTTTTAACTTATTATGCATAGTTATGAGCTGATGTGCTTATTGCAAAATTACAGTGGGCTTTCGATTTTAGAAACTTTTTCAGACGACAAAAAATTTGTGAAACTGAAAGTTCTTATGTGGGAATGACATTAGAAATTAACATATGTATTATATGACCAAAGCGGTAGTTCGTAAAAACCTGCAGTTTTAAAACTAGCGGCTTCCTAAAAACGGGAGTCCATTGTATTTAGAATTGTAAAAAATAATTTTTTTTTAAAGAATTTATTTAAATGGTGATGCATTTTGCTCTTAACGATGTACCTCAAATGCAGTTCCAGTACACATAAATTATATGTTAAACTTTTGAATCATTAAATATGCATTTGCTATGACCTTTTCTATGTATCAATCGTATGTAATAACTAATATGTTCTGTTATATTTTCTCTAGAAAAGTCAAGTTATCAGCTGCATAGATGTTCTAATTTTCTCTTTTGTATGAGTCATTAGGTACCCCAAAACAGATTAATGGTTCTTCCGCATTAAAATGCGAGTTTTTCCTTTTTATATTCGAAATTTTTGACATGATAGTGCTCATGCGTTTAAATTAGTTTATGGATAACATTTTACATTAATATTGTAGTGCGTTTTCTTATATTTAACCAATTCAAAGCAAGCTGTTGGTATATTTATCGTCAGCATCAATAGTGTCACAATTAAACTCTCATACACTTCAATGAACTTCTTAAATTTTATAATGGGTTTAAACTCATATTTTACACTAATGTTTTAGACAAAAGGTCTATCTATTCATACAACTTTGCCTCTCCAAGAGAATAGTTGGCGTTTTTTTATCTTGTTGCAGCTTGTTTGTTTTCTAACCGATTACTATTAGGATTTCATAAGTTATTTTCATTTTGGTTAAAGTTTACGGCAATAAAAAAATGCATTCATCTTTAAATCTTGGGTAACCCTCAAGCAGTAAGCAATATGAAAAGTTTATTGCCCGTATATTTATCATGTAATAAAGTCTGAAACTGGTGATAAAGCTTTATGATCTCAAAACCTTTTAGCCTTCATCACATTACTTTTCGTTTCGGCAAAATTGCCATGATTAACGTAATTGGCAAAATCTTGATAACTAATTGGTTGAAGCTCCAGCAAACTGCATTATTTTACTATTGGCGAAAAAAAGTTGAAGTTTACTTTACACGAAATAACTGGCTACCTCATCACCTGCTATCTAAATTATACTGCTACATTTTAAATAACATAAGTAATTTAATTTTTTTATCATAATTTTTATAGTAATTTTATTTAATTCCGACGAATACCGTGTAAATTCATTTATGAAAGACACACATAAGAATTTCTTCAGCAATTATTCTCGAGCAAAATACTGTCTACTGGCTTTCCAGAGACTTACAGATTTCAAAGAAATCTGATACTTTTAATTCACAGCTTTCACAAATAAATTCTTGCTCATAGGTTAAGCATGTAGTTTCTAAACGTATAATAGCATTTATTAAAAAGCAAAAATTATGAATTTGCATAAGTTTCTCTCTCTCAATGATTTAAAAATAATGGGATAATCATATGAAGTTGTAGTCGAAATATTGAAATATAATACCATAATTAATACCATAATGTACAAGAGAAACAAATTTATAAAGAATACCATAAAATAAGAATCTGTGTGCAATAAAAAATAAGGATTCGAAATAAAACAGCAGCATGTTTCTCTTCTTTCAACCAGTAAAATCTTCAACCAGAAAAATGACATTACATATACACTGAGGCACTATAATAACGATTATTATAGATTAGATGATCTAGACTTATATATATGTAAATATCTATGTATAAATGATTTACTCCTACAAACAGGGGTCTGCCTTTCTTGTTTACTACTTTGAAATTCGTGCACTAACATTATTCTGTTTCATAAAAAAAAAAAAAAAAAAAAAAAAAAAAAGTTACTATGTTTGGATTACCACTGGCTTAAAAACATCTGCCTCAGTTAAATTAATAAATCTAAAGACCCTGATATGCATCCTGAAACCTTTTTCAATAACAATATGTTCATTAATTTCATTAAATTAAAGCAAGCCTCAAAACTGCTTTATGTGTATTACACGACAAAGCTAATTTTATACGATAAGAATAATTATATATTCCGAACCCCTTCAGGGAACTTTCATTAGTTAATTTATCATATTGACATACTTCATGAAGATGACATTATATTTACTCTCAAAATAAGCCTGTTTACTGTCGACGATCAACTTTCAATTCACCCGACAGATGACTGCAAGATACCACCTATTTGATGACTCGACCGTTTAAGTATAAAAATCTATGCTTCCATTTGATTTATATTATTGCTCTTAATTGTTTCTATTGCTGCTGTTCTTCAATGAATTTTTCGTGATCCATTTGTTATTTAAAAAACTGAATATAATGTAGCATTATTTCTTTTACATTCTTCTACCTTTTTTATACAATTTCATCGATTTTGTTTTATTTTTAATACTTTGTGTTTACTTTTACTTCTTAATTTTGAGCAAAGCTCTAGAGATCAAAATTCTATTAAAAATATTAAAACACTTCGTAATTTTTATTTTTACACGTTATTTCTTTCAGTCATTTAAATGTTAATTGCCAGTTAAAAGCTTTTTTAATTTTCCTTTCATACTCTGATCATGAAAGATTAACTAGTTATTTTCTATTTTTGCTTGTATGTAATGTTTGTTTCTTAGCTCTGATTCTTCTTAAAAGCATTGATCATTCATCTTTATATCTTCTCTTATGTACCTCACATTAAAATGCAACATATATTTTTTTCTCATTTCTAACTCTTATTTTTAAATTAAATTTATGCAAATAATTAAATTATTCATATTTCATAGCACAAGCAATTGACTGCTGGTTTCTTCTTTGCATCTCATAGCTGCCTTATGAATGCCTTAAAGTTTGAAAGCTGAAAACAAGTGTGTTGGTTACTTAACAATACGTGTGGCATAAACCCATGTGCGTTTAAGTGCCACTTTTAGTTTGAATACTTTAGATGTTTCTCAAAATGCACTTTCTGATAAAGATATTTAAAAACGACTCATCGAAAAATAGTAAAATTTCTTTTATGATTATAAAGTGCTTCTTATTGTATTTGCTAAGCAATACTAAATACTTTGCCTTGAATATAAGAGATTTACATTGCCTTATCAAGCTGAAATTTTTATTTAAAAGTTTTAATAATTTATATCATAATAATTTATAAATCACTTGATATATGAATGAAGAAATTAAATGAATTTGGAATAAGACACACTTAAAAACTGTTCTTTTTTATTAGAAACGCCTTGTGGCGATTTCCTGCTGTTAGATTTCTAAATACCATGTAACTTAATTCTTAATAAGTTCATTGGTATGCTTAATGAGCGCGTTTTATACTTTCACTCATCTGTTAAGTTTACTAACAACATAATAATTTGCTTTTTCCTGCATACATATTAAACTATTGCTCTTGATTGCTTATTATGAGGAATACATTTTTTATTTTCTAGTTTACTGAATTTCTTTTTCTTTTGAAACTATTGTATAAATTTCATAATAAATTTTATATTTGCTTTAGTATCTTGTCTTTATTTATAGTTTTTCCTGTAAGAACAAACAATAATTAAACCATTTTCCACAATGAACATATATCGATACATTTTATGTAATAATCTTGTTTTGCAGTTGAGGCAGATAACTCTTGAGTACTTTGTCGTAATCAAATTAACCAAACCAAACCAAACGGGGCTTTGAAGTTAGGAATATATCCCGATTTTGCATTGCTTTACATTTTCGTTGTTTATAGGACATTCGGAAAATTTATGAGCATTAAAAGCGTGTTTTGAGAAACATTTTTGTATGAAAGAAGGATAGGCCATCATTTTGTCTGATAGGAATGAAATAATGATTGTAATGGACTGCAATCAGATAATTCGTTTCAATAGACTATGAAGTACTGCATTTGATTTTGGTGTCATAAGAAGTCTGAAATAAATGAAACTATAATATATATATATATATATATATTCTCTTTGTTATATTCAAAATTAGATTTTACTGATTCTACGAAGCCATTAAGTGCTGGCTAAACCTATTATACAGGCTAGGCTTATATAAAACCCTGAGAATGGAAAGGTGACTGTGAATTTCAGAATATCGATGAATCGATGAAGAAATTCAGGCAAATAAACAAAAGAACATATAACGGTTGTCAAATATATCGCATGAGAGAAAAAGTGCTTTAAAAATTACTTTATTCTTTATCATATTAAATAAAGAATGTGTAGTTAAAGGCAATAAGTCAATTATGGGTCACTTATTTTTGTTTTTAACTTGAACCAGTGGCAAAATAAAAGCAAGCAATTTATAAAAAATTCAAGATTTATTTTCCATAATTCTAAAGTTCTCATTATGCATCACTTAATATAATAGTAGTTAAATGGTAATTAAAATAGTGTAACTTAAAATAGTAGTTAAATTGTAAATTTAATCATTAAAATTTTTTTTAATTTAGGAACAAACATATATATCTTCTATTTAAACCTCATAATTTTCTTTAAACACAATGTGGAGAAACGTTATGTAAAGGTACTAAACTACATAGAGATACATAAGGATTAAATATCCAGATTCCTAGAAGAATTATGCTAGGAAAAGGATTATATTTCCTGCAGAAAAGGGTAGAGACAGACCAAAATTAGTAGGAAAATTCATATTAACTTTTTAAACAGAGCTGAAATATTCTCAAGATCTAGAATTTTTTAGAGTCGATTGAATCTTTCACCACTTTCTCAAAAGCAGTAATACTCTTAGATCTCTCTCATTTTTCTTTTACCTACGAAATTCTTTCAGAATTAGCTATGGAGGAGACTTTGATGTATACATATGCTTCTACATAACAGGAGAACGGAGATTGACAAAGCTTTAATATCTATCATACAGGTTCATTAAAATATTTAACCTTGAGCTTCCAAATTAATTTGTAATTTGAGATGTGAAAAACTAGATCTCAGGTGGCTTCATATCAAAAAAATGAGGAGAGGTCAGTTGCATTTAAAATAATTCTCCAATTATATTTTATAATTGAATATTACTGACAGTCCATTTGTTAATAAATTATTTACAGCTGCCGGATTGTTAAATTATTTACAGCTTTTTTTTTTTTTTTTTTTTTTTTTTTCATTTTAACCATGCACAAAGCTAACAATATGTATAGGATCATTAAGGTTTTCAAAGAAAGAAAAATAAAGAATGCGCAGTGCTCTCGCTGGGATTCGTACGGCGAATCTCCTTATTCCTAGTTGAACGTGCTACCAATTACACAACGAAGAAAACAGAAAGGAGGGAGAGAAAGAAAAGAAAACTTTATGGCTATAGACTTTCTACTTAAGCTTTACTTTACATTGTTTGTATCTTAGTTTTTGGAATATTCTACTTCATTGTTTTATTTTCATAAGATTTGGTTGTAATTTCATACCAACATAATGAATATTTTATTAAGTTTTTATAAGTAAATTGAATTTAATGAATAAATTATTGAATGCTATCAATTAATAGAATAATTACTGAGCAACATATGAACGGAAAAGTGCATGTGTATATGTGTAATAAACTCGCTCGAAATAATTTTAATTAACTTGGTAGCTAAAAACAAAATTATTTTCGATAATTTTATTTTCTCTAAAATTTCTAATGTATGAGATATATTTAGCAATTAAAGTAAGCGTGTTAAAATACCAAATGTTCCGTCACACAGAAATAAAAACAGTTGATAGCGATTTCTAAATATGGTTATAATCTTCATGTCGTCTATATGGTAAACATAAATTAATTAATTAAAATGCAAGGAAAATAAATAAATAAACTTTAATACTCAAAAAAATAAATAAATAATGAAACCAATTCCAAAATCTTTCGCCTTTACTTCTGCTACCGTAGATATATGTAGCGATGAACTTTAGAAATTATCATAACAAGTGTAAATGCATTGAATAGGGGTCATATGTTCGAGTGAAATCCTTTTACTTTACACACTTTTTAAAGAAGCTGCCTTTTGTATTTAAATTTTAGATTATTTCGTCAAAAATATTCATCACTTTAACAAGAAATCTATGCATGTTACAGAACTCTATTAATTTTGCTTCCATATTAAGTTAATGGAAAATTATACTTATTCTTCCATAACGTATAGAAACACCTTTAGAAACTAACTATACATATCTGTATAATTTTATACATAGCACTTCAAATGATTTTATAAATATATTAAAACATAAATTAATTCATGTAATTTAATAAATAAAATGTTAAATAATGCATTGTAATATTTTATTACATTTATTAAGAGTTGAACATAGTACTATATTTCCATTTTTAAATTTAAATTTGGCACATGTAAATTTTGGTTAAGTGACAAATTTATCAAATGTTTACGAAATTTTAAATTTTCTTCTGCCTCTTTATTAAGAAAGTTCTAATTAAAACATTACTTCTTATTCTGTTAAAGACCTTTCCGAAGGAAAAACGGGAAAAAATTTAATTATAGAACACTTGTTGCAAAAAGTTATGCATTTTAAGCTTCTTTCACTCGAAAGAGATGATGTAAGTAAACTTTGTCGTGTAAGTCGTCGTATAAAACTGAGTTCGCAACATTTCTAATTTAGTATTTCTACAGATAGTAATTTGAAATTCTTTTGTCTAAATTAGTCTTGTTCTAACATGAAAAGTATCTTTTATGAATACGAATCCGAAAACTTAGAATACATAGTAATAAATATCGCTAAAAGAAGTATTTTAAAATATAAGACTTTCCTTCATGTAAAATAAATCAGAAACAGTTAATAATACTTTATAAATATCTCTATAGTCTTAATGATATTGTGGATTGTTCCCCCAAACTTCTGAGTATCACTATTACTTAATATACTTACTGAGTATCACTATTAATGATATTTCGGTTAATTTTGATCGTATAAGGGTAAATGTATTTTTGATTGACTAATTCAGCTATGGAACTATTTTTTTCTTTCATACTTTTACCCCTAAGATACACATATTTACATTTTGAAAACTTCCTTTAAAATATAGAACTTAACCAAAATTTTAGTAGACTCAGGAAAGACTTAAACAGATTAACTTCTTAAACTGGAAACATGGATTTGTGATCAAGCAAACCTCTGTATAATGTTTTTGATGCATTTGAGAGATATTAAATAATACACAATCTAAATAATTATTAAATGCTATTTAATTCAATACATAAAAATAATGTTAAAAGCATCCTTCATTGAAATTTAAATTAATTTAATTTAAACAAAAAGTGCTATGAAATGCATTTAAATCTTAAGTAACATTTAAACAAACAGCATTTAAATATTACAATATTTGAACTCTAACTTAAAAATGCCGTGATTAGAAATAAGCTTAACATTGTACTTTATAAAAAAAAACTTCTAAAGTACATGCTTCAGCTTATTCCACATTGCTTGGATACTGAAGATATTATTTGAAATAATTAGTTAAAAAACTAAAGTGCTGCTTCCATGAAATAAAATGCGGCACTTAATTTATGAAGCAATCTTACTTAGAATAAATCGAATGCGAGAATAGGTATCCACTTTGAAGTAAATTAATGAATATTAATCTAAAACTAAAATCAGCATTTTGTTTTCTAGCGCACGAGAGATTAGTGAAAAATAAACTTATGACTTCATAAAACCATCAGGTCATTCACTGAAATTAACAACATTACGTTTTAATGAAGCAAGTTGATAATCAACAACGAAAATTATCATTATTAACTCAATTAAATTTGTATGCATTCAGTATTTTAGTTTATTTTGTTTAGATCTGATTAATTTCGCAAACGTTATTAAAAAACACTTTTAAGTACATTTTTTTATATTCAGTTTTTAGATTCATTCAGGATAGCAATGGATGTTTGATCTTATTATTTAACTATTTTCTTAATCTCCAATTTCAAAATTAAAAGAAAATAATCAGGGTTTTATGTTGGCTTTTTGTTTAAAAGCCTGTATTTTTGATAAATTTTTGATATTATTATTATTATTGATTTAATTTATTTTATATTCTATATAAGGTGATCATCAACAAAATTTTCCTCAAATTTTTAATTCAGATTATGTTTAAAACAGTTTAAAAATTAAGCCTATATTTATAGACGCATATTTTATTTAAAATATGTTATTACGTTTAAAGACCATGCTGATTAACGGCACATCTCGAAAATAAAAAGATTTTTTCGTAGAGTGTATGTAGCACGAAACCGAAATTCAATAGCAAAACCTTTCGCTTCTCGACGACAGATGGCGCCACTTAGCTTCTTGTACAATTCGTTTGATTTAGCTTGAGATCAAGATAGATGATCTGAAAAATTGTGTTACGAGAGGAGAGATAAAAAGTAAACTAAGAGGACTGCATCGGAAAACGGGAAAAGGCACACTTTTCCCCTTTTCCGATGGTCTTTTTGTTATTTTTTTCTAACCCGTTAACAAGGATTCACGAATAAGATAAATTTTTCCTAACTACAATTGCTGTTTTGTATGAA